CCGTGATTTTCACCTAATTGTCCTAAGGAGTCTGGTTGTCTGCATTTTACAAGGTCGCCTGCTAAGCTTTCTTATCACTGTAAGCATATTTCAGTACCACGTTCCCTCCTTCTAAACAATGTAACTCTGCAAAAACAACATTTATATTCCCACGCTGGACTCTTTCCAGGAGATCCTTGTCTTTTTTGTACCAGGGAGCCCAGAACTGGATACAGTACTCCAGGGGAGGCCTGGCCAGGGCAGAGTAGAGGGGGAGGATCACCTCCCTCACCTGCTGGCCACACTCCTTTTAATACACGCCAGGATCCCATTGGCCTTCATGGCCACCAGGGTACACTGCTAGCTCATGACCAACGTGTTGTCCACCAGGATCCCCAGGTCCTCCTCCACAGAGCTCCTCTCCAGCAGGTCATCCCCCAGCCTGTATCTGATGCATGTGGTTGTTCCTTCCCAGGTGCAGGACTCTCCACTTGCTTTTGTTAAACTTCATTTGGTTTCTTCCTGCCCAGCTCTCCAGCCTATCCAGGTCTTGTTGAATGGCAACATGGCTTTCTGGCATGTTGGCCACTCCTCCCAGCTTTGTATTGTCATCATAGTTGCTTAGGATTCCCTCATCAAGGTCATCGATGAAGATGTTGAACAAGACCATACCCAGCACCGACCCTTGGGGAACACCACTTGTCACAGGTCTCCAACTGGACTCTGTGCCACCGATCACCACCCTCTGAGCTTGGCCAGTCAGCCAGTTCTCAACCCACCTTACTGTCTACTCCTCTATCCCACACTTTATCAGCTTTGCTATCAGGATGTCATGGGAGACAGTATCAAAAGCCTTGCTAAAGTCAAGGTAGATGACATACACTGCTCTCCCCTAATCTATCCAGCTGGTGATGCCATCATAGAAGGCAACGATGTTGGCTGAGCAGGACTTCCCCTTGGTGAATCCATGCTGACTACTCATAACATTCTTCTCTTCCAATTGCTTGGAGATGGCTTCTAGAACAAGCTGTTCCAACACTTTTCTAGCGACAGAGGTGAGACTGACTGGCCTGTAGTTTTCTGGATCCTCCTTCTTGCCCCTTTTGAAGACCAGAGTGACATTGGTTATCTCCAGTCTTCAGGCACCTCTCCTGTTCTCCAAGACCTGTCAAAGATGATAAGAGAGTGGTTTGGCGATCACCTCTTGCAGCTCCCTCAGCACACATGAATACATCCCATCAGGGCCCATGGATTTGTGTGCATTGATCCCACTCAGACACTCCCAAACCATTCCCTCCTCAACCAGAGCAGAGCTCTCAATTTCCCAGACTCTTTCTCCTCAGTCCAGAGTCCAGGAGTCCTGGGGGGGAGTGTTTGAAGCAAAGACTGAAGCAAAGAAGGTATTCAGTATCTCTGCCTTCTCAGAGTTCCCTGTTACCAGGACACCCCCCTTATTCATCAGGAGATCCACATTATCCCTAGTCTTCCTTTTACTGTTTACATCCTTAAATAAACCTTTCTTATTATTCTTTAACTACTTTGCCAGGTTCATCTCCCAGAGGGCTTTAGCCTTTCTTGTCACATCCCTGCAGGCCCTGACAACACTCCTATACTCCTCCCAAGGACACAGGCCCTTTTTCCACATTTTATAGACCATCTCTCTTTTGATCTTGTCGATGAGCTCTTTGTTCATCCATGCAGGTCTCCTGCCCCCTTCCCCGATTTCCTCCTCTTAGGGATGCACTGATCCTGAGCTTGGAAGAAGTGCTGTTTAAATGTTGCCCAGCTCTCAGAAGCACCTTTGCTTTCTAGCAAATTAGCCCATGAGATACCCCCAAGTAGATCCCAGAAGAGATCGAAGTTGGGGGGGTGGGGGTAGCAATTCTTCTTCTTGCCTTACTTCTACCAAATTCCATCTTGAACTCCACCATCTCATGGTCGCTGCATCCCAAGCTCATCCCAACTTTCACATCCCTAACAAGACCATCCCCGTTGGTAAGGGCAAGGTCCAGAAGCACCCCCCACCTCGTCAGCTCCTCTACCACCTGCATCAGAAAATTATCTTTAGTCATTGTAGGAATCGTTTGGACTCTGTGTGCCTGTCCGAGTTGCTTACCCAACAGATGTCTGGATGATTAAAATCCCCAATGAGAACCAGCATCCAGGATCCTGAGGCAACTTCCAGCTGGATCCCTACAAGTCCATGGGTCCGGATGGGATTCATCCCCGGGTGCTGAAAGAGCTGGCGGACGTCATCGCGGAACCTCTCTCAATTATTTTTCAACGATCCTGGGAATCTGGAGAGGTCCCGGTAGACTGGAAGCTGGCAAATGTTGTGCCGATTTTCAAGAAGGGTCAGAAAGAAGACCCTAGCAATTACAGGCCTGTCAGTCTCATGCCAGTGCCTGGTAAAATCATGGAGAAGATGGTTCTCGAACTTATTGAGGCGCACCTGGGGGTCAAAGCAGTCATTGGTCCCAGCCAGCATGGGTTTGTGAAGGGTAGGTCCTGCCTAACTAACCTGATTTCCTTTTATGATAAGATCACCCGTATGGTGGACCAAGGAAAACCAGCTGATGTAATTTTTTTGGACTTCAGCAAGGCTTTTGACACGGTTTCCCATAGGATCCTACTGGACAAAATGTCCACCATACAGCTAAATAAAAACATCATACGATGGGTGAGCAATTGGCTAACGGGCAGGGCCCAAAGGGTTATGGTAAATGGGGCTGCGTCAGGCTGGCGGGCGGTCACCAGTGGGGTCCCTCAAGGCTCCATTTTAGGGCCGGTACTTTTCAATATTTTTATAAACGATCTGGATGTAGGAATAGAAGGTATTTTGAGCAAGTTTGCCGATGACACCCAAAACTTGGAGGAGTTGTGGACTCGAATGAGGGTGGAAAGGCCTTGCAGAGGGATCTGGATAGGTTGGAGAGCTGGGCGATCACCAAACGCATGAAGTTCAATAAAAGCAAGTGCCGGGTCCTGCACCTGGGATGGGGAAACCCTGGCTGCACGTACAGACTGGGTGATGAGACGCTGGAGAGCAGCCTAGAGGAGAGGGATCTGGGGGTCGTGGTAGACAGCAAGTTGAATATGAGCCAGCAGTGTGCCCTGGCAGCCAGGAGGGCCAACCGTGTCCTGGGGTGCATCAAGCACGGCATCGCTAGTAGGTCAAGGGAGGTGATTGTCCCACTCTACTCTGTGCTGGTGAGGCCTCACCTCGAGTACTGTGTGCAGTTCTGGGCACCACAGTATAAAAGGGACATGAAACTGTTGGAGAGTGTCCAGAGGAGGGCTATGAAGATGGTGAAAGGCCTGGAGGGGAAGACGTACGAGGAACGGCTGAGGGCACTGGGCCTGTTCAGCCTGGAGAAGAGGAGGCTGAGGGGAGACCTCATCGCAGTCTACAACTTCCTCGTAAGGGGGTGTCGAGAGGCAGGAGACCTTTTCTCCATTAACACCAGTGACAGGACCCGCGGGAACGGGGTTAAGCTGAGGCAGGGGAAATTTAGGCTTGACATCAGGAGGGGGTTCTTCACAGAGAGGGTGGTTGCACACTGGAACAGGCTCCCCAGGGAAGTGGTCACTGCACCGAGCCTGTCTGAATTTAAGAAGAGATTGGACTGTGCACTTAGTCACATGGTCTGAACTTTTGGGTAGACCTGTGCGGTGTCAAGAGTTGGACTCGATGATCCTTAAGGGTCCCTTCCAACTCAGGATATTCTATGATTCTATGATTCCAGCTGCTTGTAAAGGCCTCATCCACCTCCTCCATGTGATATGGTGACCTGCAGTACAACCCCACAACAGTGTCACTCATACCAGCCTGCCCCTTAATTCTCACCCATAAGCTCTCCACTCATTCTTCTTCCTCCCCCAGGTGGAGCTGGGTACACTTTAAGAGCTCTCTCACATAGACGGCAACTCCCCCCTTTGTTTCCCCAGCCTGCATTTCCTAAACAGGACATAGCCCTCCATGACAGCGTTCCAGTCATGTGAGCTGCCCCACCATGTCTCTGTGACCGCAATGAGATCATGGCCCCGTGACCATACACAGATCTCCAGCTCATCCTGTTTATTTCACATGCTTCACACATTGGTATACAGGTGTTATAAGTTGCCCCCTTAATTAATTTTCAGAGAGCATTGCATTAATAATAGAAAGGAATTTATTGAGTAAGCAACAGCAAGCAAAACAGCGCTGGGCAGCCGGGGAGTCTCAGCTCCGCCAACGGCGTGCACCTCACCCCCGCCAGGGTCCCTTTTTATATCTTGGTAATTCCGGGATTACGCAGCACATCCTGGTATATTCTGCGACTGCGCGCACTGTTGCTAGGGGGTCGTCTCTGTCCCTCTGGTGGTCGTGAAGATGAAGGCCGTAGTCTTCCTCAGCGTTGTGGTTCAACTTCTGTTTTTATTTGGTCATGTTGGCCCAGCGTGAGACAGGAAGGCAGGATGTTGATACACCACTTTAGCAACTTATCAGGAGATGGTTACATGAGCTTTGCAGCAGTGTCTTTGAACAAAAGAGGCAACTGAGATGCAGAAGGAGAGAAGGGGAGGGGCTTCTCTTTTTTGTTACATTAAGCAAAAGAATTTTCATAGTGTCTAGCCAAGTATTATACAGCTCCTTACTTCAGCAGGGAGCTTTCACAACTCCCACTCCTCAAACAGAACTCCTCGTTTTTATAATACAAAAGACAATGAATAAACATTCATTGTGTATTACAATCTCTCCTTTTTCTTTTAGTTACTAATTTTGTTCATTGAATCTCTGCAATGCCTCGCTACTAAGAACTAATGTTTCCTCGATTCCTTCGTTGGTACTTATTGGCTCGTATTTGGCATGTATGAGCATTAGATGTGCCACTTCTAAACGTCCGTTTACAATCGCAATCAATTTATTAAAAATACATGGTCCAAAAGTTAGTGCTATTATTAAGAACAACAAAGGTCCTGTTATTGTTGATAATAAAGTAGTAAGCCAAGGTGAATAATTAAACCAAGATTCGTACCGGCTTTGTTGGGCTTCATTCTCCCGTTTCCTTTTTTCCAGCCCTTCCCTGAGTCTTACCATTGTACCTCTTACCACTCCAGTGCGATCAGCATACACACAGCATTCCTCTTTCAGGGCTGCACACAGCCTGCCCTGTTGTAAAAAAAACAAACAAACAAACAAAAAAACAAATCTAATCGCCTACGATTTTTAACACTACCTCTGAAAGCGACCTGATAGATTTTCCAGGGCCGAGATGGATTGTTCAATTTGGGTCAGGTCCTCCTCCACAGCAATGTGTAAGGAAGTAAATTCTTGATTTTGTTTAACCAATGAGGCTACCCTGGTCCCCACTCCAGCTCCTCCCAGGATTATTAGAGTGGCTAAAGTTAGAGCCGTGAACGGTTCCCGTCTTTCCAGATGATGACTTGCCACCGTGTGCTGGGTGTACATATAATCCTCAGGGTGGTATAGAATCCTTGGTATAATTATCACCTGTATACAAAAATCACGAGATGCATTAAAGAGTTTTAGTGATAGACAAGGAGTTACATCCACTGAACAAACCCACCTAGCGTTGTTGGCTGGGATTAACCACTCGGCTGATTGTTTTCCATTCTCCGTGATATTACATAGGTGACACTTCTCACTAGGAACCGTGCCCACACACCTACCACCTCCAGTGACTTGTGTTAGTGTTACCCTTATGTCTTTTCCCCAACTGCATTGTAGAGGGTTGTTCTCGTTTGTGCGGGTGGGCTCCCCAGGATTGCCGATAGCATCATAATATGAAGGCCTTATTCTAAAGCATAATCAACAATGTTTTGTTACATTTGGGCTTGTTTTGTTTAATAATTGGTAGCTGGCATTCCTGACCCCCCCCCCCCATATGTTATTCTCAGCTATGTTATCATTCTCGGCTTTACCTGAGCTTGTAGGGCTGTCAAGGGTTGGCACTGTAGTATTTTCCGCAGGCTGGATTCCCTGGACACTTTCTGACAATCAGCATCCTTCTTTTTATTAGTATGAGTCCTCCCCTATCTGTTCTGTGTTTGTAAAATCTGACATTTTTCCTAGTATCCAGCTAGTATTGTCCAAGTTTGTTATATTTATATATAGAACCTTGCAAATTTCTTTATTTCCGTGGAAGGTTCCTGTATACCCTATACCATGCCCTTGCCACTTGTAACGGGGATCCACTTGTCACTTACAACCTTGCGGCCCATATCCCACTTGTAAGAATTTATCCCGACCAGCCTTGACTGTCCAGTCCGTAGCAAGGGTTTCACACCCCCTGTATGCACAATAATATGCGTTTGGGTAATTACAGTACACCTTTCCTGGGTTAGAACTTGGGCAGAAATAAAATCCTGATCGGTTAAAGCATGGCTGCACTGACACCAGGTCACATAATGTGATGCGGAAACTGGGAGCACCCACTGTCATTGTTTGCTGGATGACGAATTGATCCTTCCATCTGATCAAGCTCCATTTAAAAGGCTGGTGGGGATACGCAGACCCATAGCTGACCAAAATGATGATACTGACTCCCATGTATCGTAGGAGGTGGTCAGAGCCCATCTCTCCAGGGTGTTTTTAAATTGTCGGCCCCTCAGTCCCCCACCGTTTTCACTTCTCTGCCTTGCTTGTCAGTTCGGTTGCAGCGAACTACAAGGTATCGGTTCTTCTTGGCAGCAGCAGTGTTCTTCATGGGAACCTACTAGGGAGCCTTTGAAACAGGGCCTCATCCCCTTCCCATGATACACAGATAATATAAAATACTTATCGAGTCCATCTTAGTGTCAGCTGCAAGTCGTCAGGGCCTGGAGCTGCCTCCCATTTACCTTCCTGGATTGGTCCTTTCACACGGCTGGCATGCGTCCATCCTTTCTCCGCAGTTCAAATAGCTGTTTCTGTGGTAAGCAAAACAACATAGGGGCCTTCCCCATCGCGGTGTTAAAGAAGTCTCTTTCCAAGTCTTAATTGGAATTGAGGGTGATCAAGTGGCAATTCCAAGTCATAGGGCATACCATATAGCATTTCTAAAGGAGAAATTCCTACATCAGTTTTGGGCTGTGTCCGTATGTTTAACAGTGCAAGAGGTAAACATTTTACCCAAGAAGCCTTAGTTTCCAGCATAAGTTTTGTTAGTTGTTTCTTAATTTCACCATTCATTCGCTCTACCTTTCCAGCACTTTGGGGATGCCACGGAGTGTGGTATTCCCAACTTGTTCCTAGAGCTTTCATAGTCTCTTGAGACACTTTGGAGACAAAATGAGGGCCTCGGTCAGAGTCAAGTGTTTCTATAATTCCGTATCTAGGAATAATATTCTCAATTCCCAATTCGACCAGATTTTAGTATTTACTTAACTGATCATAAATTTTCGGGATGATTAGGGTCTCAGTTGGGTCGGTCAGGGGAATGCAATTGTCCGCAGTTCCCTGAGCAGTCCCATCGGTCCCATCGGCAATCTGAGCTCGCACATGAACTCAGATTGTTTTAAGAGTTAGCTGCTTTTCTGTTTCCATAACAACTCTCTCTCAGACCCATCATGATCCCTTTGCCCCAGAGGGCTAACATCCCTGATTTTAGGATCTCAGCCTCGGGCTGCGGCGGAACTATTAACATTCCTACATTCTCTCTCCCTGCTCATTCAACTTCGAATACCTTTAACACTTTCAACAAACCTTTTAACACTTCCTTTATCTTTCTCTAGCCTTTACTTTTCTAATGCCAACATCAAAGGCTCAGTCAGGGGCCAACTTAATTCCGTACCTTTTCCCTCCAAGATGCTGAAACAACATCAGTATACAACATTTCATCCTGTTTTTCTTCTTTCCACAAAAACAACATTGATGGTAATATGGTGTTATAATTAATACTTCCATTTAGGGGCCACTCCTCTCCATCCTCTAGTTTATGAAGTGGCCACCACTGATTACAATATTTGATAAGAGTTCTTTTACTTTCTGTACCCTCTCACCCCACTATATCCCTCCAATATGTTAGTATACATCCCAGGGGGCTTTTCCTCAGGATTTCTTTTTTTTAACTTTTCCTATTGTAATCTACAGTGGTTAATATTCCACCATTTTCCTAGAAGCTCTTTACTAGTCAATCCCAATCGCTCCAAAATCCACAATATACAGATACACAAGTAAAATCAGACCACTGTAAATTAATTGCCTGTAGACAATTACACTGAGGACATTTAAACCTGATGAGCCGATAATATGCCTGGGCAAATTTTGTTCTCTTAGACATACACCTCAATGGCAGTTCTTATATTTTCATATTTACATATTAACATATGTATAAAAGAACACTTTAACAAAAATGCCTGGGCTTTTATATATACAATATACAATGTACAGTTATTATTCCAGTTAGAATTATTCCTCAGCAGCTGCAAACATTATGCCAGTTGCCATTAAAGCTCGCTTACCCTCCTCCTGTGTCTTTCTTAAAATCTCGGACGTCCCCGGAGTTAATGGGGATGGCCACATATTCCTAGTCACTGGTCCCTGAGCGCTAGAGTCAGAGTCGCTATCAGAGTCTCCCTGGGGTTGCGGATTAGGAAGCCCGGGAGTCGGAGGGGCTGCAGGTGGGGGTGGTGGAATAAAGGGAGGCAGTGGGGCTGGGATCTCTAATTCTCGGTTTTTCTTGCACCTCCCATCCCCTCCTTTTTCTTTTAGACGGTATAAATTGGCTCGAGTTTCCAAGCTGATCGAGAAATGTGCATATTCACTTTTTTCCAAACTAAAAGGTTCCTTCGAGTTTACATAAATATTTAGGGTCTGGCAAACCCAATCTTCAAAGGACCCAAATACGGGCCAGTAAAGGTGGTCTCCTCGAATCTGTTTACCACCCCAAACTTCAACACAATAATGTATCATTTTTACTTTATTCCTTCCCCGCCTAAAAGGGGAATCCGCCCAATTTTTAATCATTAATCCCGGGGTAACCTAACATCAGACATTACCCCACCCATGGGACCAGAAGGTTTACTCTTCTTCTGTCCCATCTTCCGGAGCGCCTTCACACACACATGCACGAATTGCTTCCCCCTTTTTGTGGCCCAGTCCCTCGCGGGATGTGGGAACCGCACTACTGAGGGGTCCACACTCGCTTCGTCCTGCTGGACGTCTCACAGCAACACGCTCCAGGATACCCAACCCCAACCGAATGGATCACCGGCCTATACTTACTCACTCCTGTGTCTTCGTTTGGTCTTCGTGCACAAAGATTACTAGGGGTTGCCGGCTTTATTTGCTTGCTGCCGAATTTAGGGTTCGTCGGTGAAGGATTTGAATGAAAGTAGTCCTAGTGAAGGCCACTGAAATCAGCGGGGCGCCCCCTCTGAAGGTCTTTCAATCAGATTGCCTTCATCCGAGTCACGGCACCAAATTTGTTATAAGTTGCTCCCTTAATTAATTTTCAGAGAGCATTGCATTAATAATAGAAGGGAATTTATTGAGTAAGCAACAGCAAGAAAAAAAACGCTGGGCGGCCGGGGAGTCTCGGCTCCGCCAACGGCGCGCACCTCACCCCCACCAGGGTGTGGTGGTTTTACCATGCTGGGCAGCTAAACCCCACAACCGCTCTCTCACTCCCCCTCCTTTAGATGAGGAGGGGGAGAAGTAAAGCAAAGAACAACTCACGGGTTGAGATAAGGATAATTTAATTAAAGGGAAATAATTATAATAATTAAATAAAGACTACCATGAACTAAACAACTTAACTAAGGGGAAATAAAAAGGGAAAGGGGAAAGGGAGGGGAAAAGGGAAAATAAAAAGAAGGGAGGAAAACAAACAAACAAAATAAATGAAAGCTATATGGAAGTGCAGAGGAAAGAAATTAGTCTCTACTTCCCACAAATGAGCGATGATTGACCACGTCCTTGAAGCAAGGCCTCAACGCACGCAGCCAGTGTTCGAGAGGAGGACCGACGTCTTCTCAACGAGAGCCCACCCCTCCCCTCTTCTTCCTGTTTCCACCTTTTATTGCTGAGTGTGACATCACATGGTATGGAATATCCCTTTGATTGGTTTAGATCAGCTGCCCTAGTGATGTTTCTCTCCTCACTTTTTGCCCACCCCCTAGGAGGGTTAGAGAAAGGCCTAATACTGTGCCACTGCTGCTCAGCAGTAGACACAACACTGGTGTGATAACACTGCTGTTCCAGCTACAAGTACAGAGTACGGCACTGTATGGGCTGCTGCCGGGAAAATTAACATTCCAGCCAGACCCAGTACAACCCCCTAAATTGCCCCCTTAATTAATTTTCAGAGAGCATTGCATTAATAATAGAAAGGAATTTATTGAGTAAGCAACAGCAAGCAAAACAGCGCTGGGCAGCCGGGGAGTCTCAGCTCCGCCAACGGCGTGCACCTCACCCCCGCCAGGGTCCCTTTTTATATCTTGGTAATTCCGGGATTACGCAGCACATCCTGGTATATTCTGCGACTGCGCGCACTGTTGCTAGGGGGTCGTCTTTGTCCCTCTGGTGGTCGTGAAGATGAAGGCCGTAGTCTTCCTCAGCGTTGTGGTTCAACTTCTGTTTTTATTTGGTCATGTTAGCCCAGCGTGAGACAGGAAGGCAGGATGTTGATACACCACTTTAGCAACTTATCAGGAGATGGTTACATGAGCTTTGCAGCAGTGTCTTTGAACAAAAGAGGCAACTGAGATGCAGAAGGAGAGAAGGGGAGGGGCTTCTCTTTTTTGTTACATTAAGCAAAAGAATTTTCATAGTGTCTAGCCAAGTATTATACAGCTCCTTACTTCAGCAGGGAGCTTTCACAACTCCCGCTCCTCAAACAGAACTCCTTGTTTTTATAACACAAAAGACAATGAACAAACATTCATTGTGTATTACACAGGCACTTTAGGGAAGCAGCAGGCACAGTTACCTCTAGAGGGATGCAAGAAGATTCCCAAAGGGCTATCAGGAGCATTGCCTTCTTTGAGGAACACTCAGATGATCCTATGGGACAACTCAGAGGTTTTTCCCTGCTGCCTTCAACAGTGACAGCAGAGACAACATCCCCTAGCCCTCTTCAGTCACATCTAACTCCCCTCTCTTCCCCCACTGAACCTAGTTTAAAGCCCTGGTAATCAGTCCAGAGAGCTTGCTCCCCAATACACTTGTGCCCCACCTGCTGAGTCAGAGTCTGTCAGCAGCCCACATACCCTGCTTCTCAAAGGCCTGCCCAAGATCAAAATACCCAAGCCTTGGTCTGGACACCGCCCTCTCAGCCAGTCATTTACCTGCCTCATTCTCTTCCTTCTTTCAGGGTCCTGGTCACCCATCAGGAGGATAGAGGAGAACACTACCTGCACCCCTGATCCCTTCAACATCCTTCCCAGGGATGCAAAGTCTTTTTTAATATTACTCATTTTCCTTGTTGCAGCTTCCCGGGACCCAGCCTGAATGACTGTTGTGGTTTAACCTGGCTGGCAGTTAAACACCACACAGCCATTTGCTTACCCTCCCCACTCCCTCTCTGGGATGAGGGAGAGAAATGGGAAAGTGAAGCCTGTGAGTTGAGATAAAGACAGTTTATTAAGACAGGAAAATAACAACAACAATAGTAATAGTACTACTACTAATAATAATGTGTATGAAACAAGTGATGCACAATGCAATTGCTCACCACCCACTGACTGATGCCCAGCCTATCCCTGAGCAGCCAGCCACCCCACACCAGCTAGCCACCCCTATATATTGTTTATCATGACCCCAGATGGTATGGAATACCCCTTTGGCCGGTTTGGGTCAGCTGTCCTGGGTCTGTCCCCTCCCAGCTCCTGCTGCACCCCCAGCCTGCCCACTGGCAGGACAAAGCAAGAAGCTGAGACGTCCTTGGCTTGGTGTAAGCACTGCTCTGCAACAATTAAAACATCATGGTGTTATCAGCACTCTTCTTATCCTAATCCAAAATGTAGCACCCTACCAGCTACTAGGAGGAAAATTAACCCTATCCTAACTGAAACCAGGACAATGACGGTAAGAGGATAGTAGCCCTCTGGTTTAATGAGTTGCGACAGAGACTTCCTAATGTCTTTGACACACACTCCAGGAAGACAACACACCTCCCTGGAGAGGTTATCTGAATGGCAAATGGGAGTTTGCTCTCTTAGAATCTTAGTTATGTGCAAGTGTGTGAGCACTGAACTCATTGTACATGTGTTTGAGAGACCTTGATGATACACACACATACACACGCACTTTATCTCACAACCATTATGTGTTATCACAACAGCTGTGCCTTGTCTGACAAAAAGCAACTGACCTGATTATGATGGCATACATACATGTACAGCTTTCAGCAGTTTTCTCTGACAGTGCCATTGGTAGATGGGAAGAACTAGATTTGAACCAAAAAAAAACAACACTTTTTTTTTCTTTTTTTTCTTTTTTTCTTTTCTTTTCAGAAAATACAATCCAATCTATGTCCCTGTTGGAACACAGATACAAATACAGAGCTTTCATGTACAACAATGAATTTTATTCAAATTTTTCTTTTCTTTCTAATGTTTAGTGTTAATTTTTTTTTTGTTAGTTTCTGACATTTTTTCCTCTGCTATTTTTATTCTTCTAGCTTGTTCTGCTTTCCCATCTACCTTTCTGATATTTGTAGTGCCTTATGTTCTGTAGGTAAACTTTCTCAGTGAAAAATCCTTCAGCGGGTTTTTAGTCCTGGGATTGTCCATTTCCTGAAACAATTACAAACTTCAGCTTTTCAGGACTTTACATCTACTAGCAGACAGGTCCAAATGTAAACACTACCTTCATACATATTTTACTTTCTAAGTCTGTTACTACAATTTCACTTCGGTTGTGTACAAACATCAGACCTGATGACAGAAAGGCTTTGTACATAACAGAGTCACTATAAATCACTTTCAGTCACTCGAAGTATATTTCTTGAACAGGTCCCCAAAGCAATCCTCATTCCACTGTTCAGATAATTACGTGGTCAGATTTTCTTTAGATATGCCTGGTCCTACTTCTCAACTTGAAGAATGGCTTTACTTGCACAGAGAGCAGCTCTCTCACCAAAGGCTTATACAAATGTTTGCTTCTGCATCATGTCTTCTCTTTATTGTAAAGGATATTATTGTGGAAATGACTTGTTCATTATAAGAAAGAGGATTTCTGGTCACAGAAATCATTTTCATATAGCATAAGATATGAGAACCAGAGACACTGGATGGAAGATAAAGAAGCCATCTTAGAAGTATGAATGTTTGCAACAGCAATGGTACAGAGCATTGGAATGAATTGTTCAGCTTTTAGTTTCAGTCTTTTTTTCTATCATCTGTTCCAGCTCACCTAAAACATCTTGTTGGGATGCAGGTATTCTCTGGCTAGTACTCAGCAGGTCTGACTGATGCTCAGAACAATCCCTCTGGCTGTAAGATCACTACAGATTCATTTCCTGAGCCATCAAAACTGTTATATTCTGTCATCTGATCTGTGAGAGTATTCCAATTAGCAGTGAAAAGCCCATTCTAGAATTAGTGTCACATGAACACATTCTGTATTAAAATTAGATGAATCTCAACTTGAGAGGACCTTTTTCTCTGTCTGCTGCCAAAAAGTCTAGGATGAAGACCTTAGTCTTAGATATCAAACTTTTAAGCAAACCTTAGTGTCACTAAAATGGTGTCTGTGAATGGGAAAAAGCCAACTTCATATAATGCTGCAGAGAGCCTCAGTTATAGTCATCTAGTCAGAGGTGAATTAATCCTTCTTGGCTTGATTTTACAGATTGTATCTGGAGCTTAAAGTGACACCACTTAAGTCCTGTACAGATGTGGAGATTCCCTGAAGAGGGGCCTAAGAACATTATAGGAGTAATCAAAAGTCCGCATCTGACAGCAGTAGAAACAGCATGGTCCATATTTAATGCAACACCTAACAATCTCTTTAGCCCATGGCAAAAAAAAAAATAAATAAAAATAAAAAAAAAAGATCCTGCAGATCTCCAAAAGAGGAGCTAACATAGGTGCATGGGAGAGCTTTTTTTAGTTATGACAGACTGCTGTAGGTTCACTTGAAAAATTGATTGGCCATACCAATTTGCAAGACACAGCAACACCAGATATCATGAGGCCAAGAATTAGCCAAGAAAGAGACTAAAAAGAAACCACATGTAGTAGTAGATCTTTAAATGATCTTTGCAGTCTAACTGCCTAGAATAAATTAGTTCTGTTGTTGGAGAGGAAATATTCTAAGCCTGTACATAAAAGATATTACCAGTTTTTAAAATGTTTAAATGCTATAGTTTTTGATGGGAAAGGACTATTTCCAATGCTTTGAACAGCCAAAACATAAGAACAGATACAGAAGCTCAGAACAAAACTTAATCTAGACTACAGCAACTCAAAGAGAATGCATGGGGTAGAGTGAAAGAACAAGAAAACATATAGAAGTTTTTCCCTTGAATATTATCCCATCGTCAACCAAACTGCAGTTTAGTAACTTCCTAAACTAGATATTCTGGAGTATCACACTTGGAAATTTAAGCATCTAGGAATTCA